GTTCATTTCCTTATTTATTTTGCCAGCTGCTCTCTTTTCTCATAGGCTTATATTGCATGGTTATTACATCAATATCTTCTGATGCAATGTGTTCAGCTCCTTGCTCATCAGTTGGTTTAGGGACCATAACTGAAGAATAGTTGATGTGAACACTGAAGAGGGAAGAAAGAAAATGTGAAAAATACAATAGAATATAATCTAGTCTTGAAGATGAAGAACAAATTGCTTCTCAGCTTTACCACAGTTCAGGTTGTGCACTCAGTGACATTTGTGTATCTATCTGACTTGAAATCAGCAAGGCAGCCTGTGTGGATATGGGTTCCAGTAGTGACTCTTTTTCCTGGAGTTTTTGGCTTGTAAAAGCAAACAAGGCCACTAGCAATAAAAGCTTTTGGCTCTGTCCCAGATTGCTTTATGGCTCAGAACAGGCAGATAGTAATACGAAACAAACAAACAATAAAACACAACATTTCATCACATTTATTCTGAACATTTTCATTGCTAGGAGATCAAACCAAAATTTTATATCTACAATTCTTCCCCTGTTCCAAAGCACACTGACACAGCAAACGATGTGGCAGTTAGCATGATTGCTCAACAACTGATGGTTTTTCAGAACTGAAGTTTCTGCAGCACGTAGCACACAGCTGGAGGGATTTCCTAAAGCTTATCAAAGCTAATTAGAACATTGATTAGGACTTCCAGCAGAACGTAAATGGTTTGGATATTTAACTCCGGTGAAATAAATAAGGCGTAGGCTTCTCTGTAAACTTATCCATTGTGCCTGTACATTCAATTTGATGACTCACCACTGTAACACAGCTGCCCGGGCTGGAACGTGGCAACCATTCTGCGCTAACAACTCAACACGGCGGTTTATTTTTCTGAAGAGGAGATGTGAGGAATAACTCGTCCAATTGAAACTGCAAGGTGAGTCACAAAGGTGATGACAAGGATTAGCTTCCTGCAGCCTGCGCTCACGACTGCAGAAACGCTTTAGCAAGTCTTGCAGGAGACAACTTCACAAAGAGCTGGAAGCCATCGGATGGCTGTCCGTCGGGGATCCCTGTGGGGTCTGATAGCAAGGTGGGCTTTTTCTATCTGACTATAAAGACGAGGCTTAAAAGGCTTTTGTCTGTGGTTGTGTATATTTTCCAATGAATGTCCCAGATGGAGAGCTCTTATCAATGACTTTGAGAATGCTCTGGTGTTCATTTGTAAAATAGCTTTATTATTTTCAGCTAGATGAATTACTAGGGGAGATTAGAGCTCCTTTATGCTCCCCTAAAGTGCAAAGGAAGAGTTTGTTGCTTAAATACTTGTGGTCAATCAGTAGAACTGTGATATCTGGCCCCTTCTGTGTGCCTTGAAAAGTGTCTCCTCACAATGCTGCTGGAGCTCACTATACTAAAGGAAAGCAACTTGTCTCATTTCACATTCTGAACCACCACATATAGCACAGCCACCGAGCACTGGTACGCAGCTCCAGAAGGGACAGTACTGGGGGCTTCACTGGAATGCCTGGTGTCCTGAATACGCTGACAAAGGGAACAACGTATCAGAATTGCAGGTTGTTTGGCTAATGACTTAAATTTCTGCTTATTTCCTCACATTGTAGCTGTGATCTGGTCACTTTGCAGCCACTGCATCATTAAATAGAAGTTCATGCCAATGAAAGGTATTTTAAAAAATAACTAAATCAAGTGGTAGATTTCACTCAGCTTCTTGTTCTAGATCCTTTAGAGTGATTTTCATTCATGTTCAGTAATATTCATGTGAATCAGTTGCCCAAAGCAAGCTCATTCCCAAGCACCTAAACCTATTTTTGTGTCACGCGATATATGTCACAGTTCTGACCTTGTATGTTTGCTGTCTGGAGATGCTATTTCGATATTTTCTAACCCTTAAAAAGCCAAGGATTCAATAAAAGACTTGATAACCAGTTTTCCAACACAGTACCCTGGATGGAGAGGCCAGAACAAGGGAATTACACAAGATGTTAGCTTAGACAAAGCTGAAGGTAGCCCAAAATAATTTAAACAGTAAATCTGACTGCACCAGTCTCAGGGCTAAAGCACAGACTTTGGTAATGACGTCAAGGGCAGTAATGCACTTCTCACAGATGAAAAAGGAACAGGCAAACAATGTTCTCTCTGGCTTCTTTGGAAAACCATTTAGGAGCTCTCATATTATATGAAGAAAAAGAAGAAGCAAAGAGCACTCAAAGTATACTGTAGCTCTTCACCTGAATACAACTTCACATGAACAGATCCGCCGAACTCCAGGGTTTTATTTAAGGAATGAAGTATCTTTCAATGTAATTAAGGATTGCATCACTGGACCCTGTAAATACAATAACAATCTTTATCACATAGTACCTTAAAGCCTGATGCAGGCTACATTCAAATTCTCTGCATTCTGTTCTTTCAAAATGAAATCAGACACGTTTTCTGTTCTTTTGGGACGAGTCTCCCCTTTACAAAAAATACTTTTTTGTTGATCTGAGCAGCAACTGCTTTACTGGCAGTATTTAATGTTATATCACTATGGAGGGTACCTCAACAGTTTGTCATCCCCTCAGCCTATTAATTTCAGACAAGCTTGTCCTATTAGCTCTTGCTCTGAATACTGTCTTGCCCTGGAGCCTGTTTTTCTGTGCTTATTGACAGCCTGAAAAGCATGATTATGACCACAATTTTTAAGACTGGCAATGAAGAATTTTTTCACAAATAAGGTCTATTTTTCTTCCCAATGTGATTCAATGCTGTGATGTTACCCTGATTTGTCATTTTGGACCTCCTAGGTTATTTCGATGACAAATAAACTGCAGGTATGTTGAAGGGCCACCTGCTTGTCAGGTGGGATTGATGTAAACGTCTGAAGTACTTCAAACTAAATCCTTTTGTTAAATCTAATGTTACATATGTGGCTGAATGTGTTATTGCACTGTGTGTGCTGAGAAGCAACAGACCTGAATAGCATATATGAGAAATGATGCACAAAGCTTGTGAGTTTATATACTCCTTTTTGAGCCAAATACTTTACAGAGGGGATTAATGTGCATTTTAACTTCTGCAGCTGTTTCTCTGTGTTCATAAAAATTCAAAGTTCAGTCTCATGTTACACCATGGCAAACCAGATGTACTTCATGTTTCAGGTACAGAAAACTACAGCACTGAAAACTACTCTCAGTTCACAGCAGCACAAGTGCAACTGGGATGAATTTGTCTTCCCTTGAGATTCTTTGTCCTTGTCTTTGTAAGTCTGAAACTCCTCTGACTACAGGACCTTCTATGATACTAATTCCTTCCAGCATTGCCAGCTTTTACAGCTTATTCATAAACCTTCTGGATTTGCATGAAGACAAAACACATCAGTTGTCACACTCTGTTCTTGCCTGTCAGGGGGAAATCTCTGTTTGGGTTGGATATCTTTCCTGCTTTCTTCTTCAAGCAAAACAGACATCTGGGTGCTGGGGAAAGCAGGCAGTGTTCTGTTTCACCTCCTGAGGAACTAAGAGGAATTGAGGGATAGGAGGGGTCAAAAGGAAGGATAAAAAAATATCTTTGCCCTCCTCTGAACAACAGAGGAACTACATTCCTCTCAGCTGCAAAGCCAGGAGGGAGGGTGTGAGGGAAAAGGAATGATGGAATCATCTCAGAATAACTTGGGTTGGAAGGGACTTCAAAGATCATTGAGTTCCAATCCTTGCATTGGGCAGAGTTGCCAGCCACAAAATCAAGCACTAGGTGAGGTTGCCCAGGGCCCCATCCAACCCGGCCTTGAACACCTCCAGGGCCTGGGCACCCACAGTCTCTCTGGGCACCCTGTCCCAGCACTTCACCACCCTCTCAGTGAAAAACTTCCCCCAGCATCTTATCTAAATCTCTCTCCCTTCAATTTAAAACCTTTTCCCCTTGACCTATCACAATCTACCTACATCTACCCATTTTCCCTCCTGTTTATAATCTTCCTTTAAATACTGCAAGGCCACAACGAGGTCTCCCCGGAGCCTTCTTTCCTCCAAGCTGAACACCCCTAGCTTCCTCAGCCTGTCTTCATAGCAGAGGTGTTCCAGCCCTCTGACCATTCTCGTGGCCCTGCTCTGGACCCTCTCAAGAGCTCCACATCTTTCCTGTGAACGCAGTTCTGCAGGTGGGCACTCAGAGGGGCAGAGCAGTGCTGCTGATCACAGCCTCTGGCTGACACCTTCCCCCTAATTCCTTATCCACCAAAATGGTCTCTGCAGCTGTAGAGGGACAGGGGCTTGAGGAAAACAGAGGTGCAAAGGCAAAACATAGGCGAAAGAAGGAAAACAAATTATGCAACCATGTGTTTTGGGGTCACCTAACAATCACGTATCAATAGTTAGCATCTCATACCAAATCATGATCTTTCCTTCGTTCTAGTGAGAGTTTTTGTGAACGTGAGACTAACTACCAAACAAGGGAGCAGGGCAGAAGTCTGAATGTCAGAGGGTGGGACAGCAGCAGTATTTGCATGCCAGCTGGTTTCTGGGCCATGGCAGAGGCCAGGAACCCTCACTGCTCCACGTGGAGCTGCTGCTGGGCCCCTCCTGTCAGCAGAGCAGGGGCTGCCCAAGTTCCACACATCTGAGGAGAAATCAGCCCCAACAGGGAGAACTTCAGGCCATTTTTGTCGCTCTGCTGTCCAAACGCACAGCACTGTATTGTTTTTGTTACTTGACCTTCAAGAGCAGGGGCTCATTTGGGATGCACTCCTTGTTTCTGAGGATTAGCAGCTCCCTCCGGAGGGGAACCTCCACCTGTGGTTAATTGATCTCAATTTGCTTAATTATCAGTTCAGCCCAAACGCTGGCCAGGTGCAAGCCAACCCAGGCAACAATAGGCTCTCACACCACCTCAGTGTGGGGCTTCTTGCACCTGGATGCCATTGCTTGGGGACGGGTGGGAGGGGAAAAGTCTCTGTCCAGGGCAGCAGTGTTAAGTGAATTGCTTAATTCCCCCAGCTTCACCTCGTTATTTTAGCATGAATGACAAAGGAGCACTTTTTTTAGAGCCAGTTTTACTCTGGTATGGTGTAGAAGCTGTCTTGGGCTGCCTCAGCTGTGAGTTGTGGCCTCTGGTGAGCATTATCTTACTGTAAGATCTGCTACTCTTGTATTATGGCATGTACTGATCAATTTGTGAAGGAAAATGGAAGTCTCTGACACCCGTGTGGTCTTTAAGTTAGCTGTTTCCTTTGGGTTCCTTAACAGGAGTCAACAAAAGATGTGAGAGTGGAAGAGGTTTTCCCTAGCCTCTCTGTTATTTTCATTGTTGGAGCAACTATTGCTACTGTCTGGGTCAGAATATCACATTGTATAGAATCAGAGACTGGCTCAGGTCAGAAAGGACAATAAAGCTCACACAGTCCTATCCCCCTGCCCTGAGCTGGGTGTCTCCCTGTCCCCCCACCAGATCAGGCTGCCCAGAATATCATTCAGCCTGGCCTTGAGCACCTCCAGGGATGGGGCACCCACAACATCTTTGGGCAACCAAAGATAAGAGTCTGGATGGTCTGGATTGGTCTGAAACAATGTGCCTCCACAGTCTTGTTTGAAGCATGTTGCTCTCTTGTTTGTTTAGATTTAAAACAAAAAGAAACTCGCCCAGAACAACTTTAGCACGGGAGGCTGGGATAACCGTGGGTCACCTGTGCTTTCTTTCAAGGGCTGAGAACATTCTCCCCTCAACTACTTTAGGAAGCCTTTGAGGAGAATTGCTTCTTTGCTGTTGAACAGTGGTGGGTGTGGGCTGTCTACAATTATTGCAAAATATGGGAGCATCCTTCTAGCAGCTAGGAGGAAGTGCAGGGCTGAACGCTGTCCTTGTAGCCTGATGAGGATTATTAATCCCAGCTTTGTGTTTTCTTTGAAGACTGGTGCTGTTTCGGTGGAATGAAAGTTGGCCAGCATAACCGCCCCTGGAAGTGTGGTAACAGACAGCCTGAGGCTATGCATTTCTTAAACTGTTCCAACTCAGCTGACAACAGTGTGTTAGTCTGTGGCTTCTGTGCTAATTAGGCTATGTCATCAATGTAAGCAAGTATAATTTCAGAGTGTATATGTTAATTGCCAGCTGAGGATATTGCTGTTTGACTGTAATAGAGTGTTCACAGGGCAAATTTGCATTGGAGGGTAGAGGCAGCATGCTGGGTTGGTTGCTGCCAGGGTTTGTCTAGAGATGTGTGAATACCAAGAGGCATTCATGCCAGTGTTTTTGTTGAAAAAGAACTGAGGGGCAGAATAGAACTTAATTGTGTCTGATGTATGGCCTCTTGGGTGGGTGAAAGAAGAAGGCACACTTCAACACTTTGATTACAGTGTGTGAAGTACTATCTAGTAAGGAGGGGATAAAAAGGCACTGGCTGGGACCAGACAGTAAGGCAAATTGGTTTGAACTGATTTTAAATTAGTTAATTACACTGTTTATATGTTTTTCAGAATTATGCATTAATTTTAAATAGCTTATTAGATTCAGTCTTTCAAGGTTGGCTTGCACAAAGTAGATGAACTCACAAGGCTTTCCTCTGGAATCAACACTTCAGGTGCTTTTAGGAGCAGCAGAATAAGAAACCCTTAAAGATTGCTGCAAGTGCATGAGAGTAGCCTACTAGAGGAAGCAATATCAATAGAAGATTCTGAGTATATTCTGTAGATAGTACTGAAGGACTCAGTGCCTTTGTCGGATTTCTCTTCCTTGATGTCCCTGGGACTCATCAATTTCCATACCACAGCCCCAGAGCAACAGAAAAGGCAAGCCCATTGCCCCCAGCACTTCCTAAATCTGTCCACAGACTGCAGACCAAGACCAAGAGCTATGCTGAGATCATGTCGTTTTTTTGTCAGATTAACAGCTGATTTCTGGCATTGTCTGCTGTGCCACCTTCAGAACCATTCAAAGGATGCTCTAAGTGCAGGACTGAGTAACCTGGACTAAGGTTTTAAAACCAAATAAAACCAAAACCTCTCAAGGCGAGGAGAACTGGCCCCCAAGGCAGCACAGCTGTGTTGAGTAAGTTGGATGTCAGTGGTGCCGTGGGCTGTGTGATACCAGCATTGGGCTCATTTCTACAGGGTTAGGCTTTATTTAATTATTCCTATGGGAGATTTATAGAGACTCTTGCTAGGCCTTTTGGGTATAGATATTGACTTACAGATCATTCCTTTTTTTGCTCATGACAAGCACTTTTTGATTCCTTCCTTCCTGACTTTTTTTTTTTTTAATTTCTTTTATTTTATTTCAGTTTTTAAAGGCAGTGTAAACAAGTGCCTGGGGAGTTGCTGAGGTTACCTGAGTGACAGTTTGAGCACTGCAAAGGTAAGATCTCCTTAGCAGCAGCAAACGGCTTTGTGCACAGCTGCCATGTATATAGTGGTCATCACCTTGCACATGCTCTAATAACTCTGGGAGCATTGTGGGATGACTAGATTCTGACATTTCTTTTCATATTATCTACTGTCAAACAGAACAGAATGCTCAGAAAAGCTGCTGATCTGCTCAAGTTGTGTTCTACAGGAATATTTTCTGCAGCCTCTTTCTTTTTTTCTTTTTTTTTTTTTTTTCCAGATCCTCATCTCTTTATAATTTAGCCTGTGATGCTTTATTTATGGGAAGCACAGATGCTTCCCAAGACCCATCTTGGGTAGGGGCTATCATTTGCAGGTCCCCAAAGTGGCTCTCCAGTTTGTCTCCTTTGTGAGATAGGGTGCTGAAGGGAGTGATGAGTGAATCACTTCCATGGCTTTTGTCAGGATTTTGAGTTCCCAGATGGAAAGATGACCAGGTTAGAAGAGAACTACTTAAAATACTTATTAAAAAGAGTGAGGGGGGAAAAAAAAAAAAGTAAAAAGATGTATGTGAAGGAAAGCAAGCATGTTAAGTGGTTGTCTGCTTTTTTTTTCTGGTGTAAGATACTGTGAAAAAGGAACAAGACGCTGAAGTTTCTCCCCTATTCATTTGCTTGCTGCTTGTGTTTTCTGAACACCTCCTCCTCAATTCTACATATTTTTTTTTTAGAGGAAAATGTACAGGTGCAGATGGACTCTAATTTTTGTTGTTGTTACTGTTTATATTTGGAAATTATATGCTAAAAAAAAGAGCTTGTTTAACCCTATGTGCTCATATATTCCTGTTACAGCTCTTGTAAGTCACCACTTGTTCCTTCTTCAGAAGGCTTCTTGTCTAGATCTGAATTCTGAAACCAACTTTATTCATCTCTCCATGTTGAAACAGTGGCTTTGGGGTGGTTGAGAATTGTCAGACTGTGAGCTGGCACTGCTGAAATGTAACGGTTAAAAAAAAAAAGATTTGCCTCTCCAGTCTAATCAGCACGAGCAATCAGTGTTCATGGGAGAACACGTTTCAACAGTGAGATTTCCTGTTGAAGATCTGTAAACTGCTTGGGGAAGTAAGTTAACAATGAAGTAATCTAATGATTAAGTGTTATAGCATGACATTAGCAAATAGTAATACCTTGACATCAGTAGTAGAAAAGATGATTGATTTGTAGGGCTGTTATGTATGACTGATCTAAGGGTATGTCAAAATAATGTTTTCTGGCAGGAAAAACCACAGAGATCCGTGGTTCATGGCAGCAGTAAAGAGATAGTGTTCACTGCAGAAACTGCATGAGACAATAAATAGCTTTTGCGGAGTATTCAATGAGGAAATGAAGCTATATACAAATGCAACTCTTCCTGGAGGATAGATGTGATCAAAATGAATACATTTCAACTTAAAATGCTTTTCTGTGTTCAAGTACTCTGAGATTGCAGGGTCTGAGAGCATTGTGGATAGTTCAGATCGCACTGCAGACAGATTAGAAACAAGGTTGTGAAGGGTTAAGGTGTGGAGAAAGCAGGTGACATTTCATAGGCTTTGTCCATCTGGGGGTTGGTACACTAGTTGGTACACAGCCTAGTGGCTGAGTTAATAGCTAAGGTGAATAAGTGCCTATCCATGTACTTTGCCTCTGTTTATAAACTGCTTGTCATCTCCTGCCTCTTGCCGCAAGCTAGTATGATAGCTAGGATCAGTTAGCATTATTATAAATTAGCTTTTTGGACTTTGTAATGTGTTGAGTAATTCTTCTTGCTTTTTTTCCCCCATTTTTCTTTTGCCACCAATATCTTTTGTCACTAAGCAGGCAAGTTTGGGATTTCTTCTTTTTGTCAGTTCAGGTTCATATGACATGGCTTTTACACTTGATATTTCTACACATAGTCCTGGTTATACAACTTCTGTGTATTTACACAGAGTTGAGCTGATTGTTGTAATTTGAAGGAAGGCAACTGAAATAGTTGAATTTTAAAGGTGAATTACTTTGCTTTGGAAGATAGCTTTCTATTTTGCTCTTTGAAACCAAGACCCTTTTTTTTTTTTTTAAGGTATCTCAATACCTTTAAAAAAGAACTAACACTGAACGTTTAGCTTTCTGGTATTATAGTTTGCACGTAGCTAATTTACTGATCTCAAATTAATAAAAAATCAATAGTTAACTGTGTGTGTGTGAGTGGGTTATCCTACATGTTGATGTAGATATTCTGCATAGGATGTTTAACACTTATTTATTTACCATAGGGATTTTTGAGCTATTTCTACTGCCTTCAAGCTTTGTGTGGCTGTATGGTCTCATGTCACATTCATCACTGGCAGCACCTTGTCTGAGTTTGCATTCAGCTAGGTAACTTGGCTAATGCAGCAACAGAGCTTTCAGAAACCTTTTCTTTGGGAGGGGAGAATTCTGAGTGCTGGAGGAATTGCTATCATTAGGTTGCCCCTCTAAGGCCTTGGGCTGGCTGCTTTGGTGCTCTTTTGATAACTGACACTACTTTACTCTCCGTATCTACCGATCTGTACATTGGTAGCTAATAGCTCAAGGATTTCCCTCTCAGCACATATTCATCTCCTAGGGAAGTAAGAAGAATAGAGATTTTGGGATATGGTCTGGAAACTCCTACAGTATGGGAAGGATGTACATGCAGTCTGCGCTCAGTCAAAGATTAATATGCAAGCCAGCATTCAGTGAAATGAAGGAGCTATTCACTAATTTGGAAGTGGTTTGGAAGCAAAGTGGTTTGGAAGCAGAAAGGTTGGTTGCAAAGCATGTGAGTAGACATTCTGGTAGCGTTCTGGTTATAGAAAGGCCATTTGCTTCATCTTTGTGTTTCTGTTTCCTCTCAGAGAGAGGCACTTTCCTGTTTTATTTTATAGCAGGCGCTGTTTCCTTTGCGCTGATGTTAATGTGATATTGGCCATAGAGCAATCGTGTGTGTTTACCCTGCTTCCTCATGTTTGCATGTTCAAAAAGTTTTTATTGCTGGCTGCGTTTGGCTTCCTTTCAAGAAGGACACCCAGAATGCTCTACAGGCTTCTGCTTAAGGAATATGCACTTTTGAAGTCTTGGGTTTTTTTCCTTCTCCTTTCTGGCCCTGCTGACATTCTTTTCATATAAAACAATGTCCTCTTTGGACCTCAGGTGTTTCAACTGCTGTCAATTACCACTTCTTCATGTTTGTTTTTTTTTTCCCCTCAATTTTTATTTAATGCAAGTAGGTTCTGTGGTGTCAACAAAACCTGCAATTTTATTTAATCTTTGCTGATGTAATGTTTCTCTTCCCCATGTTGCCAACTATGAATGCTTTGCTGCCTTCATCCCTTGTCCGAATTTGACACTCTCGTAATTCAATCTTCCAGTCAATGTCTTGCTTTAATCACGCCTCAAGCATGCCAATTGCATTACACTTCTCCCTTTGCACATGTGCTTCTAATTTACCACACTGTCACATACCAGCTCTGAGTGTTGCTATGGGTCATGCGTATGGTTTAGTCTTCCCTTGAATGCTGCCTGGAGAGGGAAGCAGCAAGGAGTTCTTCATCCATCCTCCCTCAGTTACCAGTGTGGGATGCTTCCTAGGGAATTAAGGAGTTTATGTGACCAAAGTTACCAGTAACCTTTACTGAGGAAAACACTCATCTAGTAGGAGTCATTAAAAACAGGATAATCCATGCTATGTTGTTTGGGCACAAATACATTATCTTATGTTGAAACTTCTGCAATTGTGTTCAGTATCTCGTCTGAGTGCTTGCATTATTTGGCTGCCACAAAACTGGCCATGCCCACTGGCTACTGCTGTACAACTGACTTTTGCTAAGCTGAAGGAGAGCGTGAAAGATGGGACTGCCTCGTCTGCCCTTATTTGCAGCACCAGTTGTTGACTCTGCTACACGAGGAACAAAACTGAGTTCTTAGGGATTTCTTTGCAGCAGCTGGGATCTTTGGTGTCAGAGTGAACTACGAGAGGTATTTAAAGAAGGCTTCAGTGTGAGTTCATCTTTTTAAGTCACGAAGGTAATCTTCTACTGTCAATTTGGCCATGTGCTCTCATGACTTTTACAGGACTGCCAGTTTCAGATAAATCTCACAGAGCTGCAGTAATGAATAACAAAGGTTGCTGGGTAGGAATGCAGACTTTGTGTTGTAAGGTTGCATAAGCCTTGTTTCTGCAGGGAAACAAGCCCAAAATTAAATGCCTCCCCGTATGGGAGGACATATAAAAAATATTTCCAGGAGGAATCTACAGTCTTCCTAACTGTGACATTTTCAATGTTGTTCAAACCATTTAAAAGCCATTTCTGTAACCACCAGCTATACAGCTGTGGCTTACTAGCTGGCATTTTGGGATAGCATGGCTGTTCTAGCTGTTGTGAGATTGTTTCATTATTGCAGCACTGTTATCAGTCCTTGGCAGCCTCCAGACTGATCCAGGTTCTGTGGAAGGGTGACTTTCTGAGCTATAGACGATAGCTTGGGGAAGCAGAGGCTTAAATAGGTATTGCAGTTCAATCAGTGTGACTATAAATGACTTTAACAGGTTCCTTGAGGTCACTCCAGTTTCCAGGAGCTAGAAATTGAAGAGGGTGATTCAGAAGGAGTTCAGGATGTGGTGATGAAGGACATAAAGCCACTGGGATATATAGTAAACAGCTACTTGCTGTATTCTTCATGAGTGATAACGTGTAGGCTGCTCCAGAAGTAATGCCTCCTATTTATTTCCAGGGAAATAGCAGCAGACACAAAAGGCAAAATACTATTTCATAGGGCAAATTCTCAGCTGCAAAGCATGCTTCTTCAACATAGTCACCACCAGTAGCTGTGCAGTTTTACCAGCGATGAATAGGAGGCTGCAAGCTGCGCTCCTCAAAGGCTACACCTGCACAGGTGACGCATTGTCACCACTGATGAAACACACAGCTATGCTCATTTTCACTGTTTGGTCTCCATCAATGTTCAGCAAGTGATAGTGACTGCCAATGAC